AAAATATTAAAAAACTCATAAATTTAACATTTTCTTTTGTGTGTTTATATACATTTCTTGACAAGTAAATTAAAAAAAAACTCAAAAATTTAACATTTTCTTGTGTGTTTGTTAATACACACTTCTTTACAAGAAAATAAAAAAATTAGTACTACAAACTTAAGAAGGATAAATTCACAGAAGGAAATCGAAAATTTAATATTTTTTTGTGTGTGTAATACACACATCTTGGAAAGAAAATAAAAAAAGTATAAAATTTAGTATTTTTTTGTATGTGTGTTAATACACATATCTTGACAAGAAGATTAAAAAAAACTCGAAAATATTACATTTTTTTGTGTGTTAATACACACATCTTGGCAAAAAAAAATAAAAAATTAGCAAATTTAACTTTTTGTGTGTGTTAATACACATATCTTGACAGAATAATTTAAAAACTCAGAAATTGAACATTTTTTTTTGTGTGTTAATACAAACATCTTGACAAGAAATTTTTTTAAAAAAATAAAAAGTATAAAATTTTCTGGTGTGTGTTAATACACATATTTTGGCAAAAAAATTAAAAAATTTGTAACATTTTTGTATGTGTTAATACACATAACTTGACAAGAAAATATTTAAAAAAATCTCAAAAATTTAACATTTTCTTAAAAAAATAAAAAAATTAGTCCTGCAAACTTAAGAAGGAAAAATTCACAGAAAGAAACTCAAAAATTAAACATTTTCTTGTGTGTATTAAAATAAACACATCTTGGCAAGAAAATAAAAAAACTTCAAAATTCAATATTTTTGTGTGTATATGTTAATATACATATCTTGACAAGAAGATTAAAAAAACCATAAAAATATAACATTTTCCTGTGTGTATGTTAATACACACATCTAAGCAAGAAAATAAAAAAATTTCAAAATTTAATATTTAATATCTTTATCATCCCACATACTTGCTCGAAATTGTCTAGGTGCTCCAACGGGTCTTGCTGTGGAACTTGTTGTTTTGCACCATGGAGATGAAACCTGGCTTGATCTCGAAGTTATTGTTTTGTACCGGAGGAGGAGTGATCCCAAACCTATTGTGGTGGGTATTGGGAGCATCTCCGGCTCCTATGATCCTTGGAGGTCTAGCCGCGTGTTGGGGGTTTCCATCGCCCCTTCCTGCTGCCCTGTGAGCTGGAGGTGGTCCTTCTGGATGCTCGTGTTCAGCCATAGCTTCAAAGTCCACCAAACCGTGCTGAACAATCTCCTCAAAGGCTCTTGTTTGATCTCTGACCCTCCTTTGCCGTGAGTGACCAAGTTGATGAATGTTGTCTAAGGGTTGTAGTAGATTGTTGTCTCCCTTTGAGCGAAGATTCATGTACCTGAAAACACACGTTTGAGAGTAGATGTATTAGTAACTTGAAAAAGGTAAATACTTAGTCTTTTCTAAGACCCAAATCTCTATGTTCTCTAAACAGTCCTAGAATGGCAACAGCGCCATTTGATAAAGGGTTTCTATGCTCGGTTTATAATGCAGAGAGGTTATCAAACTCTAATGCATGCACTGTTGTAGTATAGCAAGCAATAGAGAGTCACTCCACTTCTCGGAAAATAAAGAATTTTTTGAGTGTGTGTTAATACACACATTTTGGCAAGAAAATTTTAAAATTCACAAATTTAATGTTAATACACACATCTTGGCAAGAAAATAAAAAACTTGAAAATTTAACATTTTTTGTGTGTGTTAATACACGTATCTTGACTAGAAAAATAAAATAAAAACTCAAAAATTTAACATTTTCTTGTGTGTGTGTTAATACACATATTTTAGCAAGAAAATAAAAAAATTCACAAATTTAACATTTTTTGTGTATGTGTTAATACACACATCTTGGCAAGAAAATAAAAAAACTTAAAAATTTAACATTTTGTGTGTGTGTTAATACACGTATCTTGACTAAAAAAAAATATAAAAACTCAAAAATTTAACATTTTCTTGTGTATGTCTTAATACACACATCTTGGAAAGAAAATAAAAAAACTATAAAATTTAGTATTTTTTTGTATGTGTGTTAATACACATATCTTGACAAGAATTTTAAAAACAACTCGAAAATATTACATTTTTTGTGTGTGTTAATACACACATCTTGGCAAGAAAAAATAAGAAAAATAGCAAATTTAACTTTTTGTGTGTATTAATACACATATCTTGACAAAAAAATTAAAAACTCAGAAATTGAACATTATCTTGTGTGTGTGTTAATACAAACATCTTGACAAGAAATTTTTTTTAAAAAATCAAAAGTATAAAATTTTCTGGTGTGTGTTAATACACACATCTTGGCATGAAAAATTAAAAAATTCGTAACATTTTTTGTGTGTGTTAATACACATATCTTGACAAGAAAATTATAAAAAAAAACTCGAAAATTTAACATTTTCTTGTGTGTGTGTTAATACACATATCTTGACAAGAAAATAATAAAAAACTCATAAATTTAACATTTTCTTTTGTGTGTGTTAATATACGTTTCTTGACAAGTAAATTAAAAAAAAACTCAAAAATTTAACATTTTCTTGTGTGTTTGTTAATACACACATCTTTACAAGAAAATATTTTAAAAAATCTCGAAAATTTAACATTTTCTTGTGTGTGTGTTAATACACATATCTTGACAAGAAAATAAATAAAAAAAACTCAAAAATTTAACATTTTCTTTTGTGTTTGTTAATACACACATCTTTATAAGAAAATAAAAAAATTAGTCCTGCAAACTTAAGAAGGAAAAATTCACAGAAAAAAACTCGAAAATTTAACATTTTCTTGTGTGTATTAAAATAAACACATCTTGGCAAAAAAATAAAAAAACTTCAAAATATAATATTTTTGTGTGCATATGTTAATATACATATCTTGACAAGAAGATTAAAAAAAACACAAAAATATAACATTTTCTTGTGTGTGTGTTAATACACACATCTAGGCAAGAAAATAAAAACACTTCAAAATTTAATATTTTTTGTGTTGTGTTAATACACATATCTTGACAAGAAGATGAAAAAAACCTCGAAAATATAAGAATTTCTTGTGTGTGTTTTAATACACACATTTTGGCAAGAAAATTTTAAAATTCGAAAATTTAATGTTAATACACACATCTCGGCAAGAAAATAAAAAACTTGAAAATTTAACATTTTTTGTGTGTGTTAATACACGTATCTTGACTAGAAAAATCAAATAAAAACTCAAAAATTTAACATTTTCTTGTGTGTGTGTTAATACACACATCTTGGCAAAAAAAAATTAAAAAACTAAAAAAATTAACATTTATTGTGTGTGTTAGTACACATGTCTTGACAAGAAAATTAAAAAATAAACTCGAAAATTTTATATTTTCTTGTGTGTGAGTTAATACACACATCTTGGCAAGAAAATTTTAAAAATATAAATTTAACATTTTTTGTCTGTGTGTTAATATACATATCATGACAAGAAAATTAAAAAAAATTCAAAAATTTAATATTTTCCCGTGTGTGTGTGTTAATACACATATCTTCACAAGAAAATAAAAAAAATTTCCTACTTATTTGAGGGGGAAATTCCCTGAAAGAACCTCAAAAATTTAATCGTTTTTTGTGTGTGTATTAATACACATATCTTGATAAGAAAATTAAAAAAAAAACTCAAAATTTTAACATTTTGTTGTGTGTGTGTTAATTCACACATCTTGGCAAGAAAATTAAAAAATTAAAAAATTTAATATGTGTGTGTGTGGGTGTGTACACACATCTTGAAAGAAAATAAAAAAATTAGTCCTGCAAACTTAGGGAAGAAAAATTCACAAATACGAAAATTTAACATTTTCTTGTGTGTGTCTTAATACAAACATCTTGGAAAGAAAATAAAAAAACTATAAAATTTAAACTACACACCATTGGCCAAATCCCCATAAAACTATATATTCTTTGGTGTGTTCGTCAATCCAAAAGACAGGAGATTCCACTTTAATATCTTTGTAATTCCTTTTGCGATTATCGTTTGAAATACAAAACCAACCTTTTAAGGTTCGGTCCAGCTTTGTCGTTCCAAGTTGTGACTCCACCGGAGGTAAATCGATCCTCTCATGGGTAAATAGATTCAAAAGGTAGAGAGATTAAACAATATATCAAGTGTAGCTTGGTTTTGGTGATGAAAGGAGTTTGTACCTGAACGACCACCTGGTGATGAGGATGAGGTTGGTGCCACGCCTGGGCTCAGATATTTAGATAGTTGTCAAATATTTAGTCAAAAACTATTTTTCCTTTTAAATTGGCATGAAATTTTCAGACTTCCCTCTATAATCTAGTGTATATAAGAAAGTATGAAAAAATATGAAAGTGTGTAAAGGACTTGCATGAATTCACCACTACATAAAGTTCCCTTATCACTCTCACTACAAACAGATCCCTTGGACGTATCATGCTGGACTGGGTATTGCTTTCCGCCTTCTTCCTCCTCTTCTTATTGTGATTGTTATAATTTCTCTTAAATGTTTTAGCAATAATGGTTTTTGCCAGTTCATGTAGAACCCTGAATCGCTACAATCCTTTTCATTAGAAATTTGAAATGTTGCATGAATTAGCATAACCACATATTTATTTCTAAAAAGCTATAAATCATGGTTTGTTTTATGTTAGATTTTATTTGGTTTTGAGAAAGGTATTCAGATTTGAGTTGGATAACCAACATTGTAGATCATTGTTTTACAAAAAGTTTGTTATTTTTTGTTTAGAGAGAATGCCACTTTATGGAATCTTATATAATAGACTTTCATTACAAATTCGACAATAAAATCAAACTTTGTAATATAATGATGGCGATAGTAAAAGAACATAATGATTAAAAAAATCTAATTTCAAAATTCTATTGTGGCCAATTCCAGTATCACTAATCTGTATTTTGTGATGGTTTACCGACCTTGACTAAAAGCTTATAGCAAAAGTACATCAAATTTGTTCAGTCTCAATTGCCACAATGATGGTGGCAACTTGGCAATTCACACTAGGATTGAGGCCAGATAGGTCGGAGACGTAATTAAGTTTTTGTAACTTTTCAAATTATGAACCTCTTAACTAATATTTTCCTAACTAGTCAAATTATGAGCTTTAAATTAGCATACAAGTAGCCTTGCAGGATATACTTTACACACAGTTGGAAAACAGAATGAATAGTTTGAAGTACACCATAAAAAGGCACACATTCATTCAGAATAATCATCCTCATTACCATCGCTATATTGATTGGTATCTTGTTCCGGCTGGTGTTTCCAAGATCTACCAAGGCCTTCTTCGTCCTCTAACCTTCTCATCTTGGAGCTCGAAGCACCAACCCTAGAATTTGTATAAACCTACATCCAAAGCCCAAAGAAATTGGCAAGAGAAGTAGAATGTTCCACACATACTTCTTGTGTTACTCTTCTAAAGGCCAAATGTATGAATTAAGTCTTACTATACCCCGGAATCTTTATGTTCTATCACTGATACAGCCGATCTGCGCCTTACAGTCACCCTTGAAGGTACCGGAAAGTGTTCAACCTCATCAGAAGATCTTCCTTCCCTGGCCCTTCTCTTCCTCAAGTTGAGCTTTGTGAGTAGGGGCTGAAGGGTCATTTCATAGTATTACAGATAGAAACTGGAATATGTAACAAAAACAGATGCAGGTATAGTTCAGAGAATACCAGATAGCTAGCAGTCCCATCGTCGAATGATACCAGGTATGTGCCACGATCGTTTGCATCATCGCCACCTACCTGTTATAACATGATGTAGCATATTTATTTCCATCTGCAAACCAAACAATCAAAACTGTACTCCAATCACATTGCCTACGGTACATACATCCCAGTTGTATTCGCGAACCCAAGTGTAAGAGATATCTTCGTTTTCATCATGCATATCCTTGGACAACTGGCACAGCAACAGAAACAAAACTGACATCAATCAAATCGGACTATTTCTTGACTTGTCAAGACTTATTTAGAGATATCAACTCGGAGAGAAGCATGTCTACCTCATCCAAGGAAGGAACCATGTACGCCAGAAATTTTTCTGGATTGCCAGTGTCTGATCCACCCACCACATAGCTTTTCAAAATGGCCTGTTAAAGATGAGGTCAGAGCTTGCAATCGATATGAGAAAAAGGTTAATTGATGTGATTATGATATAAAAACTACGCCAAGGCAATGGATAAGTGTTTATGATTCATCCCCATAGTTCATGTCCCATCCTAATTCGAGAACCCTTATGTTGGCAACGAATGTGATATGGTTTTCACATCCATCTCGTCAAACAAATTATTCCTCTGTTAGAGAAAAGAGCTAACTGGACCATGCACACGGATATCGACAACATAAACTCACCCGTGACTCATATTCATCACGAATTGAAGGGTTCAACTTGCCAAAGGATTCAGAATCAGCTGTAGGAGCACTATCAAAATTCGCTACCACAAACTGCTCATCGTACCTGAGTCGAAAATTAAAAGAAAGAGTCAAATAGATTAGCATATGCTACGAGTTCACTGAAAAATATTACTGGATTTTTCATCCGCTAACATTGGAACAGGACATGGAGCAGGGAAAAGGGGAAAAATCAGGACCAACATCCCTTTTAAGTACTATATAGTTAGACCTCAACAAGGCTGGCTTTCCCATCCGTTGATCACACTATTCTATAGCAATTGGAAAACTAAACATGCATGTTTACCCCAACTGATGATCCTTCCCAGAATGCCAACGTAGAGATAAACTAAAAAATGTCACCTCGCTATTTACAAATGCGTGTCTAAAGGCAGAGCTATTATGAATAAATATATGGCTGATACGGGATGTCAAATTTAAGATTGTCTGAAAAGGTAATAAGGAGGATCCAACCTATCAAAATGTGGCAATAGTGGTAAAACTTCAACCGGCTGCAAGTTTTTATTGGTGGCATGAACTGGTCGAGATTTGCATGCCTCGAAGGATGCTTCGATATCCTTGATCTGTCTCTCCCTGGAGACCAAGAAACAGAAACCATTAGACCATTTTGTTATTTTTTTTTTTTTTCTCTTTCTTTCGAAAAACACAAATTTGAGAAACACCACACCTATTGTTAAGATTTTGCAGGATGTTGATGCCTCCTTTCATCTCTCGCAGCTCCTTTGCTTGTTTCTCAGTTAGAGACTACACATGGAGATGATAGAAGGTTTGATACTGTGTTTACAAGCTATAATACATCACAAAAGAACTTTCCAACAACTGAGATTGATACCTGTCGTGCAGATTCATTATTAATTGAAGAAATGTATTGTGTTTTCACGAGCCAGGAAACACCTTTATCAGTTGGTCTTTCTTTTCTCCTGATGCCATCTTTCTTAATAGGTGTTACAGCATCATCATCACGCAACAGTTCTTCATCTTCAGGGGCAAGAGGTGCCTTGACTTTGGGTGGGCTGAAAAGCGCAACGACAATAAGTATCACAGTAGGATGAGCTCTCGCATCTAAGAGACGATATAAATATTTGAGAGATCGTACTTGTACACACTTAGGTCAAGCAGATCCAAGGGTATTCCAAGATCAGGCTCCACAAAGATTTTTGGTTTCCATAATTTCTCCAGCGATGTGATGGTATACTTTGTAAATCTACGGGGGGGGGGGGGGTCAAACGGCAGAATCAGATATAAGAGAAGAAGGAAAGGAGAATAACACACGGCAGATTAAAATTCGATGGGTTACATACTGATCTTTATCTCGCTTAATGGTCATAAGCTTAAGCTGTGCAGTTGGGTCAGGAAGCTCATTCCGGAACCTGGAAGAAAGGCAACAAGATTAGTATCAGCAGTCAATACGTATGCTCTTTGTTTCCGTATAGAATCGAAAGTGGAAAGGGGAAGAAAACTGACTTGAGCTTGCAGATGAAGGTGGTTGGTTTCTTTAACCTATTCTCGACCCTGTCGGTGGTGAGTAGAGGCGTAGGCTTCCTCTCCTCCGCGCGAGATCCAACAACGGAGGTGTGTCCCTTGGGAATCTGAGACTTGTGAGAACTTTTCATCTGCTGTCTAAGCTTCTCTTCTTGCCTTTGCTTCTCTAGCTCCCTCTTCTTCCTAAGCCTCCTCTCTTCTTCGGTCTCGATTTTGACACTGGGATTTTTAATATGGGGAAGATGAGGCCTGTGGTGCTTCGATGGAACTCCGTGAGCACGCTCCCGCCTTGCAGATGCAGAAATCGGCTTTTTGTCGCGGTCATTGGGCGCTTGGTTTCGAGGAGGAGGATCGGGTACGAGAGGAGGAGGAGCTGAGGGAGGAGGAGGAGGAGGAGGAGGAGAAGTGGGAGGAGGATGCGGAGGAGCTTGATGCTGGTTGAACTGTTGAGGATAGTGAGACTGCTGCTGGTAGTAAGCATGCGGAGGGGGAGGCGGCGGAGGATAAGAGTAAGGCTGATGCGATGGCGGTGGGGGAGGAACAGGAGGGGGTAACGACGGCGGAGGGGGCGGAGGTGGTAAAGGACTTTGAGACGGCGGTGGGAGAGGAGGAGGGGGATGCGGCGGCCGGTACGACGCCATTCTCTCTGATCGCAGTTTTGCTGTTCTAAACGAGCAAAGAAGACTAGAGAGAGAGGGAGGCTTAGATTTAGATTTACAGCTCCGGTCAGACCGTTTCTCCTTATATTTTTCGGAGCGGTCCAATATGGCTTATCATATTGGGCTTTCATAATACGGGCTTCTATATACACAAAAACAGTCGTCGCTTCTGATTGCTAAATATGGCAATTACTTTATGAATAAACATGTCTTAACCGGTCCGGTTTGTACAAATCGACAAGGGTAATTTCTATTCTACAGGAATCATTTGCTTATTACTGTATATACCATGTAAGTTTTACAAACCATTATGCACAGCGAACCAAGGAAATCTCAGTCCAAAATAGTATAAACTAAGCCATAAGATACCTTTTTACCTATGATGAGACTTCACAAACCGAAGATGTTATGGTCGGTGGCACTGAATATAGCACCGCCAAACTGCCTGGTATTCAAGTCCCCTCCATCAAGCGCAGAGCCAAACCGGTCGAGCCACTGGGCAGGACTGGGATTCTCTGCCTCTTCCACCCACTCCGACATCATGTCGATGTCCTCCACAGCAATCGGGTCAGTCTCCAAGGTTATACTTGTCCCTAACTTGAGATTCTGATTCACGTACGCCAAGTTGTTAAGCATTTCTCTGTCCATCTTGTTTCGCCTTTCCCAGTGCATCTGCTGGAATGTGCCCCATTGGCGTTCCAAGCTGTAACCGCTGCAAACCTGACTCAGTATCCTGATTGCCACGCGCTGCAACACGGGTGCTGAGTCCCCAAACTGCTCCCACCACAGACCTGCATTACTTTACACACCGTCATTAGACATCAACATCTAGAGTGCTTAGTAGCTATGGCACCAATTTTCAAGCACCAAAACCCATACTGCATCCGAATCATCCTTTCATTGCAGTCACACGCTTACACAGATACGACCGACTCAGAATATCTTGACATCTCCGTTCATTCTTCAGGTTGGTTTAAAATCCTTGTATGAACATTTCAGGTTACGAATAGCAACCCTCGGAATTGACTACATATTAAATACTGAAATATGTATTGTCCGTACCTGGTGATACTGTATCTCTAGCCTCCATCGCCAGATTACACCCGAACATTCCTTTCGCCCTTGTGAAAGTGAATATCTGATTTGTTATATCGCGCCGTAGATCGCTAGTGGGAAGAAGTTTCTCCAACACCTTGAAAAAGTCTTCTTTCAAAGAGGTCAGGAACTTTATCTCCGGGTTATACTGAATACTGGGGTTCAAGAATGCTGCTGCTGCATGAAGAGGTGAATGCAAGTGGTCACACCACTTTGTATCAACGATGTCAGAAAAGACCTTATGCTTATTCTCATCCATGATGTAGTATGTCCGTATTGACTCTTTCGCCCTAGACATCAACTCGTATATAGATCCTACAGCGGGCTTTCCACCACAAACTTCCCTCAACACTTTCAGAATAGGCTCAGAAATAGCCACGCTTTCTTCCACAGCTCTCCAAAACTCATTATCCTCAACACATGATATGCTATGTGGTTTATTAGCGTGTGTGGAGTACTCTGGGCTAGTAAACATTTGTTTTAGCCTTGCTTTTTGCTTCATCATTGAATGTAACGATAAAAAACTAGTAACAGACCTTGTGACACCGCTTCTGATTATATCTTGCCCACCTGTCAACTTCTTCAGCAAATCTAGCACGGAGCTATTGTTGTACACAAACTTAGCTATCCCCTGCGCTTGCAATATGCATTGGTTGACCCAATCTACCTTGGAGAAATCTTCTAAAATCAAGTTCAAACACTGAGATGCACAAGAGGACACAAAAATGCTTCCATAGTTTTGCAAGATATGGTTTGAGATACCTGTGTAGCTGAAGCTATTGTCCATAATGATTTGCACAATATGTTCTTGTCCAATATCTTGAATGATGGAATCAAATAAATCAGCAAGGAATTTAGTGTTCTTGAAATATGAGGAGGCGTCCACAGACTTGTGAAACAAGGTCCTGGAAGGCGAAGAAACGAAGAAGTTTATCAGTGCTCGCGCTTTGTTGTCAGTCCAAGCCTCAGCGATGACAGTACAGCCCGTGGTGGCCCACTCCTTCTCAATCTCTTTCAGTTGTAAACTGATATCTGATTTGACCCTGTCGACCCACTCAGCCTTGAGAGAGAGCGCGGAAGGAGCAACGAATCCAGGGCCACACTTTGCAATGGCATCGAGCATGTGGTGATAAGACGACGAGCGGGCAACGCCAAAGTCAATCTTGTTCTCAAAGAAGAAAAGAGAAATGCTCCTCTCTGCAACCTCCTGGGCGTTTGCAATTGGTACAAGGACGGTAGGAAACAGTCTGGAAGCAGAAGACAAAGCATCTAAGGGAAGAGGAGCAGGCAAAGGTTTGGCGTCGGGAGTCTTGTGCTTGTTGGTGATGGGGGATTCTTTAGCATCGTCCTTGGCAGATAATATGGATCGGACTCTATCGGTTACATCGTCCCGAACCTTGGCACATGGATTCACGCCTTTACTAGGGAGCCGAGAGAGATGATGCTTCAACCTGCTGATGCCGCCATTCAGAACTCGAGAGCAAAACTTGCATCTCACCTTGTTACCATCTAATTTCTCCGCGTATTCCCAGCATATGTCCTTCTCTCGTACCACTGTCCACGCATTTTGCAATTAGGTTTTTGTACGAGATTACTTCCCCATTTCAGATGCAATCTCAGGAAAATAGAGCTACTTACTTACTGCGGATTGCTGAAATGTTCTTCGTCAGCCAGCTTTCACCTCCCCTAAAAGAAAAGAAAAAAGTGCAATCAGCACACACAACCCTAGTGAGGATCACAATATAACAAACTCCAGGCTACACTGAAATCACTATATGACGTAAGGATTCTAAATTTCCTCGACGGAAAATGAGGACACATGACGAAACCGATCGCTCTTCACTTCGAAACAAATATTTATCGGCGAAGCTAACAAGCAGCAAAAATTAAAGAGAACTTGGGAGGAGAATGAGAAATTGGGAGAGATTCACGGGAAGTTGCTTACAGAGATAGAGAAAGACACGGGAGAGATTCGATTCTTCTCGCCGGAACGAACTTCTGAGAATTGAGCTTAATTTTTCGCGATATTTTGCTGTGCGGTCCTTTAATCATTTTTCCATTCCTTTCTCTACTGCATTATATTAATGAAATCGAATAGTTTCCTTCCACTTTTAGTTGTTTTGCAATTCTCTTTTATTCAGTTTCATTTATTTTTTTTAAAATACACATGGAGGAGACACCAATCAAGGCGGTTAAGAAAAACTAGAATGAAAACAACAAAGACGATAATCAGTACTATAGGTTTCATTTCGTGAATATTCCTATAAGAAAACTTATCATATGCAGCCATCAGTTGCACATATGTTTCTACAAAGACGCTAAACATACACGACTACGAACGGAGAGCCTAGAACAGCAATTTTCGTAGCTTATTAGACATATTTAAAAAAAAACCAAAAACAACAAGGGAAACAGTGAGATTACACACACAGATTTGAAGATGCTGACCAAACCAAAAAAAAAAAAAAAATCTCATGGAAAGAGGAAAGTGAAAGAACAGGAGTTGAGAGAAAGGATCATCAAGTGAGTGTAAGCATATCCTCAGCGGTAGCTCCGATAGGAAGGGCTGTACATGCTGCTCTCAGCACACTGCTCCAGCTCCTTGGGCTGAGGCAACCTCGTGGCCAATCCTGTAGATGTAGTGAAATGTAATGTTGTAATTCACACATTTTTTTTGAATATTAGAACACAATAGAGTGCGCAACACAGAAGTAAGGGGGTACTTACCCAGTTCATAGGCCTTGGAAGCCACCTTGGCTGCAATACGAGCTGAGATTTTTCTGATATTCCTGAAGGGAGGGAATATCATCCCCTTCTCATAGTGCTCCTCCATCAGTTGCTCGGCCAAAGCTTCTGATGCGGCCAGAAGCATGTCATCATGAACGCGAATGGTCCCTGACATTATTAGCCCCAGTCCAAACCCAGGGAAGATGTACGCATTGTTCGCCTGTCCACACAAACGTCAGAATCTACTCTCTTAAATCAGTTGTCAAATCCTATTTCTATAGCTCTGGTCACAACCTGTCCCGGCACAAAAGTCTTTCCCTCGTACTCTACTGGCGCAAATGGGCTTCCACTTGCAAAGATCGCCCGGCCCTGTGAACCAAAAGGTTTGACTTTGTAACCCAACGACAATCATCCACTTCTCATGAGAAATAACAATCTTAACTCATCTACCTGACTCCACGTATAGGCCTCTTCTGCCGTACATTCTGACTGAGATGTTGGGTTTGAAAGAGCAAGAATTATAGGTTTCTGTATGCACCAAAATTTTGACTTTATGGTCAGGACAATGTGCTCCCAGACAAAATGCATATGCAAAAAAACACAACAAAATCGTTCTTTTTCATGCAAGTTTATGCCGTAACAATATACCTCATTTAGCTCTGCCATGGTTTCCACCACGTCTTGAGTGAATGTTTGACCTACTCCTGATGTTCCAATTAGAACTGTTGGCTTGATTGCCTGAGTGAAACAAATCAAGAAAAGGGTTTACTGCCAACGTTGAGGATTAAAAAAAAAATAACGCCTCTTCCTCAATGGTATCTTCTGCAGCAGAATAACGACCAACACACCTTGACAGCATCAACAAGGTCCTTTATCGGTTCATGGTCATGAGCCCAGGGCTTTTTGAAATGCTGAATAGATTCTTTCCGGGAACTGACAATCAATCCCTGCATAGATTAATATGTGTACTTAGATCTAAATACGTGCAAAAGAAAGACAAATCCTCATCTCGTAAATTACCTTCGAATCCACAAGCCAAATATTCTTCCGAGCCTCTTCCAATGGAATTTGGGACTGCAGTCACCAGCATATATTTCATATAAGAAATCAAGTAGCTTAATAAAGCAAAAGCAGTGATGCACACAAGCTTATAGCTTACCTTCTTTGATATCTCAAGAGCAATTAGTTCAGCTATTCCAGTGCCAGCCTGCATCACAAAGAAGTGAAAACTAAAACCATGTAAAAAGCCTGCAGATATCCCATCCCCATCCAGGAAATAATATTAAGAAAATCACAAGCCTTACCTCTCCAGCACCAAGGAATAGGAATCTGTGGTTTGACAAGGATCCGCCAACAAATCTAAGAGCAGCAATAAGTCCCGCAAGCACAACTGATGCCGTGCCCTATATTTGGAATCACAGTTTCAGAACTTGGTAAACTTGTACTCCAACCCGAAATTATCTCGTGTATCACAACTTAATAAAATATACCTGAATATCGTCATTGAAAACAAGATGTGTTGTACCATACTTAGCTAACAGGTCAAAAGCATTATGGTTGGCAAAGTCTTCAAACTGCAATTTACCAAACGAAGAAATGTATATAAGAATAGAAACTTGAGAAGATGTAAACAGTGAATTCGCGTTGGTGGTGTACCTGAATAACGACTTTCTCCCCATAGTTCTGCTTGACTGCTGTCATGAATTCATCCATAAGTTCGGAGTATTCCTGTAGAAAAAAAGAGGATTGCGGTTTCAATTTCATCCTAGTTCGCAGGACTGAATTACTGAAAGGTGAAAGGTGCCAATTACCTCTCCTGTAGCTCTCCTTTGGCGGAGTCCTATGTAGAACTCATCATTCAGTAGCTTTTCATTGTTTGTCCCAACATCAATTGTTACGGGCAGACACTGGCGAGCCATGTATATAGTAAGAGATGAGAGAATGTGGTTGAAAGTAGTAAAGCTGATTTTCCCAAAACTATACTTACCGCAGATGGGCGGACACCTCCAAGGGCTGTATACAGAGAGAGTTTCCCAACTGGTATTCCCATTCCCTGAAGAGATTAATGATAGCATGCAATATGCAGGTTAGTTAGAGGATAAACCCTGACTACACCACTCTCATGATAACAGGAAAGAATCAAACAACTTGCCTGACATCCAAGATCCCCTAAACCTAAAATGCGCTCCCCATCCGTGACAACAATGACCTGGATGTTCTTCTCAGGCCAGTTCCTCAGCACCTCAAGAATCTTACCTCTATCAAAGGAAACTTGTGTTAATAGATGAGAGGCACAAGAAAGAATACTGAAAGTGGTTGTTGATTTGCCTATAAAAAAGGCTCACTTTTCTTTCAAGCTGATGAAAAGCCCCTGTGGACGCAGGAAAATGCTACCATACTTCTGGCAGGCTTCCCCTACCGTTGGAGTATAGACAACTGGTAGCAACTCTTCTACATGGTCAATGAGAAGCTTGTAAAACAGCCTCTCGTTGGTCTCCTGAGATACAAAAGCAACATGAATGAGGTTGGGTAACAAAGCCAATCGGATACGGTGTTGTTAAGATAGCGAGAAATTTCCCGAGTACCTGGAGATCCATCATAGCCATATACCTCTGCAAGGGAACTTGATACTGACGAAGAGTATGCATCATTTTCTTAACCTGTAAACAAGCGTGGAGAGTGTGAGAATCAAAAGCCTAAAAACTGCCGTTAGTATGTACAAAAAGGATATGTGAAAGCTGACAAGACTGGAAACCTGAAGATCTTGGGAAATAACAGTGGGGGGGAGGAGGCCGCGTAGATAGTGAGCGTCACGCTCCCTGTGGCTGAAGGCAAGGCCTTTGTTGTGATGTGGATCGCGCAACAACGTATAACCACTGCACCACATTCACATCCAGCATAGTTGGTGATGATAACACACAAGTCCAGAAAAATGGAATTAGGATTGAGGAGGAAATGGTGGTACCTGGCGACAGAAAGAGACCAAGGAGTGATGGGCATGTCCTCGGTGGCAGCGTCCTCGCCGTAAACATCCTGGACTCCACCAGATACGGTGGATTTGGGAACAATGTCGGCGGCGGCGGAGGTCTCGAGGGATGATGTGGTCTCAATCAAAACGCTGCCGTTGGGATCCCAGTTAGATCCGAGAGCGGAAAAGACTCTGAAGAAAGCAGGCGAGGAGGTTCTAGCTCTAGGCTGGCGCAGAGAGAGGTGGGTGGAACGTCCAGGAACACCCGTCTTGCTCTGTGAAAACCAAAGCAGGGGAGATTAAAAGAGACAGAGAAGGATGTAGAGGAATGGAGAACGAAGATATGAATACCATAAACGAGGAGGGACTGAGAGAGATCATGGCGCCTGGGGATGCCTCGTTTCGTTGAAGACGGCGGAGGAGGAAGGAGATGGAGAGAGTCTTCGTGATGTATGTGATCGTCTCTTTCTCACTCTCTCTCTCTCTCTCTCTCTCTCTCTCTCTCGCTAAAGCTCGTACGACTAGACAACAGAGCGGCCTCTCTTCCTCCCCTATCTATCTCCCCTCACACGCTCTAAATCTGAGAGCTTCGCAAATGGCACAGAACCTCCATGGAAACGGTTGACGTGTCTTCCTATTCTATATCTTCCAAATTAACCAGCGGTCCCTGTATTGGTGCGATATTGTAACTTTTACCCTCAAAATTAAGAAAAGATAAAAAAGAATCACTTTTTCTTGACTGCGACCTCTTTTCTTATTGGAATTGTGACCAAAATAGCAAAATGCCCCAATGTTTTCAAGCGAAATGCAAATACCATGAATGTAGATGTAGTTGGTTTGAAAATTGTCCCTCTCTACTTGACACTGTGTTATTTATTGTGCGAGAGAAAAGTATCCTCCAACTTAATGTAATTGGACTCTTTTGTGTCACACGCGATGACACGATGACCCCCCCCCCACACCCCATCTTGATAGCATCCACGTTACTTGGACTCGAAAATATCTTGAGACCCATTGTGGTAGTGGCCCAAAAAGTACGAAGATTATCTGGGTTCGTAAACCTAAAAACCCAATAAGGCCCATCTCAGAAAGAATCACTCGCCCTCTCCGATTCCCCCTCTCTTCACTTTCTTTCTCTAAACTTTCCTCCTCCAAGCGCTCCTTCTCAGTCAGTAGAAGAACGCTCACATTTAGGTCGCCAATTTGGAAAATTTTAATCAGATTTTTACGGAGGAGCAGTTGGATAAGCATCCCTTCACATTAGAACGACATGTTACCTCAGTTCTGTGTAAGTGATTTTCACTCACAATGCATACCATTCCTTCTCGCATTGGTCATCTTATAGTTAGGGAATCTTCAATTAAGGCTGCAACTTATGTCTGCATATATGAGTATTCCGCTTGGTATCCATAACCTTTGTCCGCAGCCTTGTTGAAAAAATGATAGTATGGCTTGTATCAAGGATATCCAAACTCATCAATTATCCTGACCTTGAGCTCTGATTTCTCTCTTGTCTATACAAGACGCTTGTAGTAAGGGAATATAGATGAAGAATCATCAAGTACAAGTGTGTAAAATCTTCTTCCTCTAATATTGGAAGTATCGTAAACTCATAGTCGGGGTTTGAACAACCTTCCTTCAACAAACAAAAAAAGGTGGAGTTACATTACATCTGCTTCGTCATCATCTACACGGCTATAAAAAAATAAATCACTTGCGACACTAGGATACATAGTAAAATAGAGAGCAACATATATGTATGTATAATATATATCACAAGAAATAGACTTGGCGGTTTTTCTATCTGGTCTGAAAGTTGAGAGTTCTGATGCAGAATGCGAAGATGAAGGCGAAGAAGACGGTGAAGGCGACTAGGACGGCAGCGACTGGTCCCATAAAGTCAGACTGGAAGCCATAAGTTTCATCAATGTATTGCTTGACGGTGAGGCCAGAAGGGCCTCCGAGGACAGTGATAGGTGTCTCCACGTCACCGTACTGTGACACGATCAATCCATACACGGTCCAGGCGACAGGGCAGATCCAGTAGTACCAGATCCACCACTTGGGAATTTTGGGCCTAGGGATGAAGAAGCCCGAGAAGAGGTTGAAAATGCCGTAAAAGGCTGAGGCGAAGATAGAAGCGACTTGCTGGTTTGGTGTGAGGGAGACAGTCATCATGCCGTAATAGGTCCAGTAGAGGAAGGAGAAGTAGCTGACAAAGAGGAACCAGAAGAACTTGGCGGCGGTCCACTCGAACCCAACCATGGCATAGACAATGAGGGAGTAGTAAGTGGTCTGTACCAGGACATACGGAAGCTCACAGGTGACCTGGGAGATGGCGTATGGCATGGCTGAGTACATTCCGGCAGCCCTTTCCCTGTAGAAGACAGTCCTCTCCACTGCCACCATCGGCTGTACGGTGGAGCAATTGTTTATTCCGACAAAGATAACAGCCGCATACAGTGCTCCTATCACCATCGTCAGGTCTCCTGCGTTGGACCTGTTACCTCCGATTTGCCAGAAGATGGTACCAATGAGGAGAGATGTTGCTAGTGTGAAGATGAAGCGGACAAGGTTGTAGTCCGGGGATCTCCAATACGTCCACCACTGCTTCCACAGGCATGATTTGAATTGTCCCCATGTGTTTTGCGAGAATTGTGTGGCAAAGTAGAGATCAGACGCCCCTGCGGGAGGTACACTCAGTTCTTTCACCAACGCTTTGTTTCGCCTGCAATATCATCATTTTTTTATTACTACTATGCGTCTTCTTAACATTCAAATCAGACTTTTTTCAGAATCAACTTACTGGTGTAAGGCGGATGACTTGTACAACTCAGCAAAGTCAACTCCAAGCTTTAACTCTGCGGCTAGTGAGCTGGCTTCAAGCATCCAAGTGGCCGGGTTATACTTGTCTGGAATCTTGGGCACTCCCGGAAAGGATTCGAAGTACTCCACCACCTTGTGTGAGTTTCGGCCCAAGGGACCCGCGTATATCACCTGCCCTCCTCTCTTCATCAGCATCAACTCATCAAACGCTTCAAATATATCAATGCTCGGCTGGTGGATGGTGCACACCACGGTTCTTCCTGTGTCCACTGTGTTCCTCACTGCCCTCATCACAATAGCTGCTGCTCTCGCATCCAGTCCCGAAGTCGGCTCGTCCATGAAGATGATGGAAGGGTTGGCTACAAGCTCCACTGCGATTGTCAGTCTCTTCCTCTGCTCCGTGGAAAGCCCCGTGACACCTGGTAAACCCACGATGGAGTCCTTTAGACTGTCCAGCTCTACCAATTCCATCACTTGGTCCACAAACATCATCTTCTCCTCTTTGCTGACTTCTTTGGGAAGGCGAAGGAAAGCAGAGAAAATCAGAGATTCTCTGACCGTGACTTGTGGGGAGTGAATATCAGTCTGCTCACAGTACCCTGAAATCCTAGCAAATGTCTCTTGAACCTTTGGGAATCCTGATATTCTCACATCTCCTTCGATATATCCGCCTGTTTTCCTTCCGGCCAAAACGTCCATTAGTGTTGTCTTGCCGGCACCACTCACCCCCATGAGCGCAGTCAAGACTCCTGGCCTAAACGCACCCGTCACACCTTTAAGCAGCTGCAGCCTGTTTTCTGTAACTCCTTGCTCTCTCATTTCCTGTACCATCAATACATATATATTTATCTTTTCTCATATTTTGTTTGGAGTAGATTCAAGTGCTTCAAAGAAAAAATGATTGTTACCGCAGGCATGTCAACAAAGTATCTGACATCGTCAAAGGACATAGCTAAAGGAGTGAAAGGAAGAACCATTCCTCTCTTAGTGGCTCCACCGCTGGATGCTTCAGCCGCAGAGTCTGCATTCCTACTCATTCTCCCCATTGCAACCTCTCCTGATAGCAGAGCGGAATGAGACGAGAGAGTAGAAGAAAATAAACAGCTAAGCAGATAAAGAAATATTTACTTTTGTTCCCATCTGCAGTAGACAGAGATCTACGCATTGGGTCTTTCCTCTGATCCGAGTCTTCAGTTTCTTCTTCTGGAAGTAAACCTGACTTCTTCCCAAGAGCTGCAGTTACAAGGTACATTAGTCTATTGTTTTCGCTTGGTAGACGCATGATGCAAACATAAATGCACAACAACTTACGGTTGAGATAGGTAAGTGCAAAAGTGAATAGAAGGTTGAAGAGGACTGTGAAACCAAGCAAGGCTCCAACTGCAATCCAGTACCAGTTTTTGTTATGGTATACATCCCAATTACGAAGCACCATGGTTCCGAGGCTTGTTGAGTTGTCGAAAGACTGCAGTTTCAAAAGTGAGACTCAGAAACTTTACGATGATATATGTTTGCAAATAAAGAATAAAAGCAGCAAGCACTCACCCTTTTGTTCATCCATCTAGGAGCAAACATTTCATTGACGGTTAGACCGTTGAAAGCGTAGGTGAGAGGAGATATCCAATACGCCCACCTCCACCACTCAGGAATCTCACCTCGTGGAAGAAGGAAGCCCCCGAGCAAGAAGACGAGAAGTAGAGTGAGAGCGCCGCCGGTATTAGCTATCATCATGGTTCTGCACACAGAAGCGATCAACCTAAAGAGTGCAGCAGCCATTTGCTGAATCAAAAACACCAAGAGAAACTGCTTGAAGAAGCGGCCTGCGTCAGGTGCAAAACCGATGGAATAATAAGTCACCACCATCCATGCTGTTGATTCAAAGATTGAGGTTGGAATCCCGAGCAAGAAGGTAGGGAGGGTGAATGTCCATGATGGATAAAACAGGAGATCCCTTTGTTTGTAGAACACGGGGAGTCTCGAGACCATCATAGCCATCTCCGCAAACCCATTAAACATGTTGATGATCATTCCAAATAGCAATGCTCCTATGTAGATGTTGGCATCACCCTCGGTTTTTGTTTCCAGTTCAGTTCTGAGGAAGAGTGTAGAGGTGATTGCAGCGATGATGATGATCTGCACGGTCTTGAAGACGTAGAAAAAGGCGTTTCGCTGCATGAGCAGCCACTCTTTGTCCCAGCAGCTCTTGAGAAGCTCCGTCTTAGAGACCGAGTACTTGTCGAACACAAGGGCTGCTTTGTGGCCGCGAGACTTATCGAACGGAACTGAGAGTTCGTTAGAAAGCTGCTTTCCGACGTGGAAGCCCTTGAATCTGCTGGCAAACTCTGAGACTGGAATGTAGCGATAGGGTCTGTTGGGGTCCACCCAGTATTGTTCCTGATCCTTTTTGGAGGTGACCTGAGCAACAAGCAATGTCAGTTGGTGAGATACTGTGTATACGAATATTGGAGTAAAAGAGGAGGGGAAAGGCTACCTCTTGCAAGAAATCAGCTGTTCCTTTTCTCTCAGGACACTTGAACCCAAAGCTCTCAAAGAACTCGAGAATGTGGTCCCTGGGTCCTTGGTACACGATCTGACCCTCAGACAACAAGATGATGTCATCGAATAAATCAAAGGTCTCAGGAGCAGGCTGGAGGAGAGACATGAGCACCGTGGCGTCTGTGAGGTGAACGATCTGCTGCAGGCACTTGACGATTTGGAAAGTGGTGGAGCTGTCAAGACCGGTGGATATCTCGTCCATGAACAGCGTCTTGGTAGGCCCCACAATCATCTCACCAGTTGTGACACGTTTCTTCTGACCTCCGGAGATACCTCTCATCATGTCATCTCCAACTATGGTGTCCTTGCAAATGTCAAGCCCCAGAATCTGTTCCATTCAACGGCAAGAATCATTTTTACCACAACAACATCAACAAACAAGAAACTTCTCTCATGAGCTAATAACTAAGAAGTTGTAAGAAGTGGGGAGGGGCTCACCTTGAGAGTGTAATCAGTGATGAGACTGCTCTTAACCCCTTGAGCAGCGGAGGCTTTCATGAACAGGTCAACATCGGCTTCAGGGAATATCCCAGCGTCCTTTTCTCTCCTTGCGAGCTCGTTCAACAGATCTGCAAGGGGACAAATTCATTCAACAACCCAGACTTCAATGGGAAAAAACAAGAAACGAGTCCTTGTGTGGTGGATCAAGATTGTCATACATACCGTAACGGGTACCAACACCTTGGCACCTAGCGGAGAAATCAAGAGTCTCCTTGACGGTCATGATACCGACGTGGAGGTCGTTCTGGCTAATGTAGGCAGAGGTTTTTCTGGGAACAAACTCGTCGAGGCGGTAACCGTTGTAGGTGATGTCACCAGAGACCTCGAGGGCTTTGTCGAGTTTGCCGGCGAGAGCCAAGAGAAGCGTGGTCTTACCGGAAGAAGGGGGACCCAACAAGAGCGTCATCCTGGAGGGCTTGATGGAGCCAGAGATGTCTTTGAGGATAGTGAGCTGAGCTTTCTTGGCAAGCTGAATCCCAATGATGCCCAGAGCAGACTCGGCCATGTTCCTCACCACATTGAGAAGAGTGGGGAGAGATCTGTTACCGGTGTAGCAGTCGGCTTTGATGGTGAGGTGCTCGTACCTGACCTCTACCGTGGGGAGCTTGATGCCGACCCTGTCGATCCTGTTCCTGAGCTTGGTCAAGATCCGCTCGTTGTCTTGCTCGGCGACCTTGAAGACCATGTCGATGAACTTCTGGCGGTCCTCGCCGTCGAGCTTGGTGACGTCGACCTCCTTGCTGAGGAGCTGATTGCCGTAGACGTCGTCCTCGACAACGGCGGTCATGAGAGTGGTGCGGAGGCGGCTGTAGGTGGGGAGCTTCTCGATGGCAGCCCATTTAAGGGCCTCTTCGTCGTCGTTGACGGACTGTGTGCGTCTGGAACCGGCGGAGAAGATGTCTTCGAGGTTTCTGCTGGCTCTGCTCACGCTTCGGCTTATGCTTCGCCGCATACTCCCACCTCCGCCTAACGGAAGATTTGGGTTGTAATCCATTCTTGCGAAACCCTCTCAGAAGAAAGTTTGGGTTTTTCTCTGATCTGAAGTCCTCTGCAAATAAATGTGAAGGATGAAGAGAGGAGGGTGGGAATAGAAATTGGATAAATAGGGAGTGAGGAACATCAAGGTGGACTTTTCCTCAGCTCTTCGTTTCTCTTTCTTGCTATTCGTTACTTACAATGCTTTTTTTTTATAAAACAAAACAAAAAAAAAAAAAATCCAAGTCTTTGTCGTTAATGGTATTCAAATGCGAGGTGCTGATGTGATGAATGATGATGGCGGCTCCCTTACGCTCGTTTGATTATTTATTGCTATTATCAAATCTGCCTTATCGTTGAACATTCACTTGTTTAAAAAATAATAGACGATTCTGTTCTGTCTGTTATCTTCAAAGTCAACAAAGGATAACAGAAGAGGGGACCCCACAAGTTCCAGCGAGTCATTCTTTCCCCTTTCCATTTTCCTTACATTTTAGAGTCATTGTGTTTCTGGAACCTGAGAAATTGCGGGTGAAGGAGAGTCAATCCAACCAACATACTTGTTGGGGAAGACCGTAATCGATCGTGGGAAAAGCATATGCATATGAGAGTATTCAAAGTAAACTGATACGGGAGAATTGGGGTTAAAAAACGAAAACAGAGAATGGCTGACTTGGTCAACAGCTCAAATTCATTAAGTTTGCAGGCGAAAGAGAAAAGTCAAACAATTATTATACTGTTTGCGCCAATCACTCTCTTTAATGACTTCTCAGTTCCCTCTTTAATAACTCCTCTTTTACTAATTCTAACAAACTTTTCTCTCTCTTGGCAGACTTTGTTTTAATGGCTTGTAATTCATATAACTAGCCTGAGCTTCCTCATACTAAATGACTTAATTTTTCATCTTTTACATAATACTAACATCTTTGGGCCTACTGTGACTCTCTACTTAGATATGCAAATATTGTATCATTTATAAACTAATCCTCTTTACAACACTAACCATGTTCTTCTTGCATACGCGCACGCAAAATTAATCATGAATTTAAATACTGTATGATTGGAATGAAAGACAGTTGTCATTAATCATTTACCTATTAATTGATAATGTAGTTTAATGAAATATGCTGATTTGTTTTAATTTCATTGGTTAAAAACATCAATCTAACCTAATTAAATGTGACATGGAAATAATGATGTGTAATGATGATGTAATTGTAACATGACATTTACTAACACATGTGGATTATGACATGACAAAACAAAAATTATGTGTTTAATTTATTTTAGTTCAAACTATTATTTTATGAAAACTGAAAAATATAAAATATTTAATTATTAATATAAATAGTAAACCATCGTTTTTATTACATGCACAAAAGATATGTTATATTTTTTTATTACATGCATAGATTTGTACACTTTAAATTATATAAAAACTATATCTTCACACATGCACCAACTATATAATCTAAAGTAACATTAATCTAACAATTAATATTTAACTAAAGAACCTATTTTTGTTGTCCACACAAAACAGAAACTATACAAATATACAAAGAGAAGTTAGAATATACTATGTTTTGTTAACCGAAGTATGATTACCTACTTTTAACAGTCTTCTTGAGATCGTCTTTCCGCAATATAATCCAAAGCAACATTAATTGTATCATCAAATTGTACAAAGATTATGAGAATTGTCTTCATCACATGCATCGATTATATAATCCAAAGTAACATTAATCTAACAATGTTTAACTAAAGAACCCATTTTTGTTGTTCACATGAAACATAAGCTGAACAAATATATAAAGAGAAGTTGGAATATATTTAAGTTCAAATAATTTTCTGTGTTTAATTTATTTTAGTTCAAATATTTGTTTTATACAAAGAAGTCTTCGAGAATTTAAAGGCTAAATAACTGGATAAATTGAGAAAGATTAATTGAAGACGAAGAAAATGATGAAATTTGCAGCTATGTATGTCTGACCCGTAAATCCGCATCAGGTAACCCGCTCAATCAGCTATCCACGGGTCTGACCCATTTGACCATTTAACATAATAAAATGGGTTTTTTGTTATAATGAAATGTTTAGTTAAAATTATACCATATTTTGCTATTAGACCCTATAATTTAATCACCCTACCTTAATTAAATTTTTAAAGCTGTTTATGCCTGCACATGAGTGCGGGCCAAACTCCTAGTTGTGAATTAAAATTTGAAACAGTATTCTGAATATATATATATATATATATATATATATAAATCGATGAAAGCCCGTTTGCTAAACGACCGGGAGAGTCGAGGAAAAGGCCCAAATTGGATCCATGGATTATGTATATACGTTAGCTGGCTGGGAGGAAAGAGGAAAGAGGAAAGTTGAAAAGGCAAACAAACAATAGAATTGCATCCCATCATTATGCTCTTGCTTTATTTAACAAACCTTTATCTTTCTTCAATGATCCTTCTCTGCATATTAGTAAGCAAACGAGAAAAAACAAGATGTATAATACTAAGAAGACGGCCAAACAAAAATGGGAGTCTCATCTCCTGATGATTTCCGAGCTCCCCCTCCCTCCCCCGTGGCATCCACCCGCCGGGCTTCCTTCACTGCCAACGAAGACGTCATCTCAGAGTTCTTGGATAAGTGTGCTCGAGTCCCAAATCTTGTTTTGCCCGACAAGGTCTTCCCCAAGCACAAATTCCTCCTGAACCCTCCCACCTTCGATTTCCTCCGGCTCGGCTCCCCCTCTCCCCTCCTCCTTGATGCCATCACCACCATCGGTTGTTTTCAGCTCATCAACCACGGCGTTCCCGAGGCTACGCTGAGAGCCGCCACGGCCGCCGCTGACAAAACCATGTTCCAAGATGAGACAGAGGAGTTCGTTTTGTATAAAGATATTGCTGAGGGACGTGCTTGTCATTCACATCTGAGGTATGGCAACAAAACTATTGAGACTTAAGATTGTAAGAATGAAATCAGTAACAAACAAAAAAAAAATGCAGGGAGTTGATGGATGAAGCAGAGAGGATCGGGAAGGCAATGAGAGAAAAGCTAGGAGGGAGAAGCCAAGAAGAAGAAGAAGAAGAAGGGGTAGGGGTTTGCTACGTGAAGAAGCATACTGGCAAAAACGAATCAAAAGAAGAAGCGATAAGAGTGCTGATAAGAGGGTATGACGAAAGACACTCTCTGTGTCTCAGCTTCTGCCAAGCAGAGTTCCACGTCTACTCCAAGAGAGGTTGGATCTCCTTCTCCCCACGCTCAGATGCGGTCGTGGTGACGGTCGGGGATCAAGGCTGGAGGGGCAGGTTCAAGGCTGTTGTGGGGAGGCCCCTTCTTTACAGATCAGATGACCATGGATCTCTTCCTCGCCATTTCATCTCTCTCTCCTTTCTCTACACTACGACTACTCTAGATCGCCACAACAACAACCTAAGAGTTACTCAGAAGAAGAATACCATTTCCCTTGCCCAACAGCTCCTCTTTGCTCTCTTTCTCACACTCCTCTTCCCTTTTTTCCTTCCTTGATCATTTTATACTTCTTGCTTCCTTTTTGTTTCTTTATTACCAAGTGTCTCAGCAGCATGTGTATGTCAATGTCAATCTATTCTTCGGCCTCTTATCCAGCAGTTCAGGGCCTAGTTATTCAATTTTAAAGCCCATTCAAATTTCCTGCCCAATCACTTTGTAGTTTTGTCTATATATTTATTGTGTGTAAATGCTGAGAATGGTATGCAAATTTTGACACTAGAAATTAATCAGATACATATTTTGCTACGTGACCCAAAACCAGGCGGTACAAACATATATCCATCTTCTAATATTTCACCGTAAGGAAGCGTACCTTCCTACTACTGTGTGTGATACATACATGCTAAAGTACTATGTATTTTTAATGTATAATATAAGCAAATGTAACTATAATTAACAAAGCAATGGAGAAACAGAAAGTAAATACAGTAGTACGTAGCATATAAGATATATATGCACGTGACGTGATCTTCCCCACCCCACTTTACAAGGTTATCGCAAAAGTGAGTTTTACAACAACCCATTTCCTTCTTTTTTGGAGTTGAAAACAGATTTACAAGTTTCAACTTTAAACTTCATAATGAGTGGTCTACTTCGAATCCATGTTGTTCCTCTGTTTTATGTGGTTAAACAAAACCCACACACACGTGACCTCTCATTGTCTTTGGGATTACCTCCACACAATTCTTGAGCTCTTGCTTTGATTACTTAATTTATTGTCTGATTTTTTTTCTATAATTTAGGGTACGAAATGTGTCTAATGTTTTGTCCAAGCGATTTGTGATCTATAACGAAACTACATAAATTAGAATGCAATGACACACCAAGTTTACATTTCATTAAAAAATAAAATAAAGTGGCACAGTATGCACATCCTGTTGAGATCATCAGTGACATTAATCAAATAAATTAAATCCTGTAATATATAAGCTATATATCTCCATAACGTATAACTCATACACTATAGATAAATACTTGGAAGGGTTACGTTCTAGTTAAAGGTTGCTAGCTGCCAGTTGCATTGTAGCACGTGAATTGGTGATGGCTTCATTAATTAGTATTGTTGTGAAAAGTAAAACAAAAAGAAAGTAAAGATGTCGCTATTGCATGAGCACGTACAAGAGATGGCAATGCGGAACCACACATATGAATATATAAACCCGGCCGCGTGCACCGCTTATAAATACGAAACCTTGGGGACATACATATCTACTGAATAAAAATACTACAAGATTGGATGGCATCAAACGGGAGGAGGAAGAGTGTGAGCGGGAGCGGGAGCGTGGTGAAGCCGCCGCCACCGCCAAAGCTAGCGAAGGAGTCACTGCATAGGACCCTGTCAGACATATCGTTGGATTTTCACAGAGAAGAAGAGAAAGGCCTGGGGACGATAGCGGAGGTGGAGAAGGCAAAGTGTGAGTGTTGTGGGATGAGGGAAGAGTGCACGGTGGAGTACATAGAGAGGGTGAGGGAGAAGTTCTTGGGGAAGTGGATATGCGGTCTCTGCTCGGAGGCGGTGAAGGAGGAGAGAGAGAAGAGGGAGGAGAATGGGCTCGAAGGGGCTTTGAAGGAACACATGAGCGCCTGTCTCAGGTTCAACAAGCTTGGGAGGGAGTATCCTGCTCTTTTCCAAGCGGAAGCCATGAGAGATATGCTTAGGAGAAGCACGAGGGCTCAGTCTACCAGCCCCAAACCCACCATTTCCCGCACTTCAAGCTGTATTCCCGCCATCACCAAAGACCTTAACTGACCATTTTACTCTCTCTATATCATTTGTCTAATATAATCATATCGCTTAATTTATTTAGTCCCTAATAAGTTGAGATTGTCCTAAATTCCTCTATTTTCGTTTCTCTCACAACTTTGTAGTGTATATAATTTACCAATATGGAAAGCACCAGATGCCCGTTGGGATGATGGGTCATAACAGCTAATCCATCAGAAATTACTAATGGGCCGAATCCTATTTTGGTCCTAGAGCCCATCTGTATTTGATGGGTCTTATTATGACGTGCGGCAAGTGACAAGTCTCTACAAGTACAACGCGTATTCACTTTTTTCATTGGTTGTGTTGTATCGCCTTTCACTACGTGAGGATTATGATGATTTTCTGTTAAAGTCCGGATAGATTTTCTCGTCCCTTAGGTGTTATAACGATTCTTTTGTTCACGTTGAATGGCGAGAAATGTGAAAATATCAAGAGAGTAAATACAAATGCCATTTGCGTATTATTAATTAGCAGAGAAAATGAGGCACGCTAATTGTACCTGACGCATGTACATAGAGAGGGAGAGGGAGAAAGGCAAGTCCCTGTAGAGTAGATAGAGAGATGTTTTGTTTTTCTCTCTCTCTTTTTTTTTTTTTAATATAAAAATACATATAAAAAGAACAGAAAGGAATGTGGCTTGAAATATGGGAATTCACAGTTTTCGTCTTCTTTTTAATAAGAAATACAAAGAAGTATATATATAAAAATAAATAAAATGGGAATGAAAGAGGAGAGGAGGAAGCAACACGAAAAAGGTGAAGGGGAAAAGGGGAGTACTTGTATAAGAAAGAAAGAAAGAACGAACGAAAGAGTGAGTTTGTTTGTGTGTTCCACAGAATAGAATAGAGGGCAGAAAACAACAACTAAAAAAGGCAAAATAGGGAGATTGAATGAACAGAAATGGAGAGGAGGAGGAGGTGGCCGAGAAGAGGAGGCAGAGGAGGAAGAGAAGGGAGGTGGTGCAGGTGTCTCTCAGAGGAGGCTGCTTGGCTGCTTCAGCCACGGCTATTGCGATGATGCTGACGGCAACAGAAGAGGGAGTGGCAGACGTCTATGGCTTCAAGCTCACTCTCTACTCCAACTGGTCTTTCTCTCCCTCCTACCAGTAAGTCGTCTTCTTCCATTCAAATCTGAATGCACAAATTAGAGAAGAAACAAAATGTGTGTGAAAAATGTATATTTCAGATGCCAGAAACACATCCGTGAACCAAACAGCAAAATTACATGACATTATTGTGTGCATCACTTTTAATCTTTAATTATATTAAGAGTGAGTTTGGTGTGAAGGTATGTGGTGGGGGCATGCACAGCGACCATGCTCTATTCCCTGTTCCAGCTCTGTCTCGGTGTTTACAGGCTCCTCACCGGATCTTCCATTACACCCTCCCGCTTCCAAGCTTGGCTTTGCTTCATCTCCGACCAGGTTCCTCACTCTTCTCTTCTCCCATTTGCTATTCTTCTGATTGTAACCCATAAATGATGTATTGTGTGTGCAGCTCTTTGGTTATTTGATGATGAGCGCTGGATCAGCCGGTTCTGGAGTTACCAACCTCAACAAAACCGGTATCATACACACTCCTCTCCCGGACTTCTGCAAGACACTTTCTTCTTTTTGCAATCACGTCGCCCTCTCTCTCCTCTTAGTCTTCCTCTCCTTCATCTTCCTCGCCTCGTCTTCCCTCTTTAATGTCCTTGTGCTCTCCACTGCCTAGTCTCATGGACCCTCTCTCTCTCTCTATTGTTGTTGCTTTATAATATCCAAGACTTATGATCACTTGCATCCCCACAAACAATGTATATTTTTCCTTGAGTATTCCTCTAAAGACATGCACTACAAATTACGATTACATCCAATCAAATTTTGGGTACAACGTGATCTTTAGACGTGAGAGATCCTTAACGAGCGAATCTGCAATCCCAAAAACAATGTATTTTCTTTTTGAGTATTTCTCAAAAGACATCCAAGACGCAATGCAAGTTACGGTTACATCCAATCAAATATTGGGTACATGGACGTTGATCCCTAGACGTGAGAGATCCTTAACGAGCGAATCTGCATTCTCAAAACATAACCCACGCATCCCTATCTCTATTGCACACTTGACGTTGGTTGGCCTGCGTATCAGACGATCCCTCAGGTCAAAAAGTGGTGTCTTTTAGATATCCATCGAGTTAACTTAAGATGGAAACATTTCGAACCTGTCATCAATGAATATACAGTCGCAAGGTTCAAGTCCGAGATGTGCCACAACCTCGAGATAGAACTGTGGATCAGGCTTTCTCTTTCCTGAAAGATAGGTAATGAACACAAGAGGAGTTGTAGTGATGGGAATAAGAGTAATAAGGCAGCAAAAGAGGCAAGCGATGTGTGTTGTACCAGCAAAACAGGAACAAAAGGTCCATGATAAGAAGGCTGAAAGCTTTAACTTGTCCTCGATCAATTTGTACCTATGGTGAAACAAAAGAGTAAGAAAGGCATGAAAGACAATTTTGCAGGCTGGTGAAAGTGGAGGGGGATGGAAACCAGATGGGATAGTTGGTGAAAGCATGAATCTCGAAGTTGTCAGCTTTCAAGGATTGAAGAAGCTCTTGCATGCCATCCAAGTAGGAGTATCCTGATGCAAGGCACTGCTTTAGCCCTGAAAAGCGAGAGCCATACTCTGTTGATAAAAAGGATGGGTTTTTGAATCAACAGGTACCAGAGCAACCACTACCTTCCAGATCAAAGTCCCTCCCATCAATGAAGAAGTTTCTCGCTAGCTCTTCCTAAAACGATGATGATACCAAAAAAAAAGTCAAACCCCAAACCCGTAATCAAAATCCGACATGATTCGGATTGGTACCTCATCAATGAAGCCCTTTTCAAAATCGATCCACGCCATCGGGTGCTTGCACTCTAGTAGGTCCTTCATCGGCATTCTGAGCCGATTACGAGAATCAATCAAATGGAGTGGAACGATAAAGAAGGAATCGAGTAGGAGAAAAGGGGAAGGGTACCCGAAGAAGGCCGGAACGTCGTGGTAGAATGGGTCACGGACGATGGTGTCCATAACGTCGAAGAGGAGGACCGGGAGCTTCCTTCCCCGAGAGATATCATCGGAGCCCAGAGTGCAAGAAACCGAAGGCCGATCAAGCTTCTTCTTCGAGATGATGTTGGGTTTCGGATTGAACAAGTCCGCCGATGAATGCATCCCCGCCGCCATCACAAACGCCCTGCTTCTGATCATCATCATCATTCATCGCGCGATAAGAAGAAATTGAAGACTAAAACGCGGCGTTTTTGAGTCTGCTTCAGAGTAGGGTGACGTGGTCAAGCGGAAGAGAAGAAAAGGGGCCCCATGACTTGCACGAATCCTCCGTAACCGTCAATTAATCCACGACTCTGCTCAACCGCCATTTTGTGTCTCCCACTATATAACAACGCTTCCTTACCATTACTTGACAACACTCAAAGCTAAAGAATTCAAACAAACGTTCCTTATATTTCTTCATTTATCAAAAAAAGATGGTGAGGTCTCCTCGGTCTAATTGCAATCTGAAAGTAACGATGTTGTTCATCTGGGCCGTGATGGTGGTGGCGGCCGCGGAAGGTCCAAGGATTTTCAAGGTTGGAGACGAGTTCGGATGGAGAGTTCCACTCCAGAATGACACAGCGGTTTACAGCCACTGGGCGAGCACCAACCGCTTCCACATCGGTGATTCTCTCTGTGAGTCATAGCTAGCTAGCCACTCCCCAGTTTCTCTGCTATAATTTATTTGTTGGGTTGCGATTAATTGAAGATTGTGGTGGCAGCGTTTGTGTACGACAAGGACTCGGTGATGGAGGTTGACAAATGGGGTTTCTACCACTGCAACGGCAGCGACCCCATCGTAGCGTTTGACAATGGAAACAGCACATTTCAGCTTGATCGTCCTGGCCTCTTCTACTTCATCAGCGGCTCCAACCCCCACTGCACGAGCGGCCAGCGTCTCATCGTCGAGGTGATGCATATCCACATGCACCTTCAGCACAATGCTTCCATGCCTCCATCCATGTCGCCTCTCTCTGCCTCTCCCTCTGCATCTGCTTCTCCCTCCTCCCTCCACCTCCCCGCCTTCGCTGCGTTTTTTCTTGCTCTTTTCTGCTTCCAACCATAGCGTTACTCTTGCTCCTTTTCGCTTTTTGTTTTTACGTTGTTTCATTCATCCAACCATTATGCTATGAAGCTTGTGTTTTCATACTGTCTTAAACAAACCAACCATATAGGATTAGCATCAACAAAACAAACTTTACCCATTTTACGAATTACCGGACCGACGACCTTACGGGGTTACTAAATGATCACATATATTAACAGATATGGGCCTCATTAATTGAGAAAAAGGCCGAGAAACGGGCCTTATGGGTTTACTAAAATGCAAAAAAAATCACTTATATTTAACAGATATGGGCCTCATTAATTGAGAAAAATGGAGAGAAACGGGCCTTACGGGGTTACTAAATGCAAAAAAAAAATCACTTACATTAACAGATATGGGCCTCATTAATTAAGAAAAAGGGAGACAAACGGGCCTTACGGGGTTACTAAATGTAAAAAAAATCACTTATATTAACAGATATGGGCCTCATTAATTGAGAAAAAGGGAGAGAAACGGGCCTTTGGTAAGTGAAATGGGCCTGCCCAATTTAGAGGAGGATCCCAAGGGGGAGAGAAAGCGCAGCAGTGGATTGGAAAAGAGTGTGTGGATGGCGCTTTCTCTTTCTCTACGCCCGTCTCTCAGCCTCCCTCGACCACCGAGCGTCGTCGTTCGTAGCAGATTGTTTGTTTCGATCCGGTGCGGCCCACGCGACAACCGCGGGCCCCTTCTCAAAGGTCGGATCCTGAGCTCCGAAGCCATTCAATCGATCCAGTCCCTGAAGCGAGCCCATCGCACCGGCTCCCTCTCCCTAGGCCTCATTCCTCTCCGGCGTCTCCTCAAGGCCGACCTCCTTGCCGTGCTCCGTGAGCTTCTCCGGCAGGACCAGTGCACCCTGGCTGTCCACGTTCTCTCCACCCTCCGATCCGAGTATCCGCCGCTCGACCTAACACTCTACGCGGAAGTCGTGACGGCGCTGTGCAGGAACGGGGAGCGAGACCAGATAGACGGCCTCATCGGAGAGTTGGAGGGAATAGAAGGGGGTTACGAGAGCGACAAGGCCCTGGCAAAGCTGATAAAGGCGGTGGTGGGAGCGGAGAGGAGGGAGTCGGCGGTGAGGATATACGCGATGATGAGAGAGGGAGGGTGGGGATCGGAGACGTGGGAGGCAGACGAGTACGTAGCGGAGGTTCTGAGCAAGGGACTGCGGAGGCTAGGGGAGGGAGACTTGGCCTCTCAGGTGCTCAAAGCCACCAAATTGGAAGCTTGAGTCGTGTCGTGTGTGTGTTTTTGGAAATGTAACAGAGTAAGAAGAATAGGTACATGTGAGAGAGATATCTTGCCGGTCTTGTTTTTGTTTGGTTTGGTTTTGATCAATTCCGGTCTCTCGATCCCTAATGGTATCCTCTCTGTGAATTCCAATGATGGATTATTTGGCTATGTTTGCACTTTTTTCTGTTTCTCCGGTACACTTTCTTATTCTGTTTCTATAGAAGAAGTAAACTTGTACGTCGTCTTTTTTTCTTTAACAACACAAATGACAAATTTTGACGAGCAACGAATAGAATACAGAGGATTGATCCAGAATTTAAATAACGAGGTAATTACTAGAGTTGTCGGCAAACAACAAGGTTATTTTTAATTCAACAGGTGGCGAGCTGTAAAAAAAATGAAGAGAGAGGGAAAGGAAGTGGATGAGAGGAAAAGAAACCACGAGTAGCTTTCGATTGGAAAAAGACGGTAACACCCTCGTCGGCGTTTCTATAAGCTTGCCTTGTCTATTGCGGCCGGAATTACAAAAAAAAATAAAACCTAGCCCCGCCAATGACTCCGACTCCGACTCCGCCTCCTGACGATGCTTGGATCCGTTCTCATCACCATCTGCTTCCCCAATCGCAATCGCTTCTCTCGTCCCACCGGGTATGCTCTCCGCTTCTCAGACTGGTCGTCTTCTTCTTTGGCTGGCTCATGTTTTATGTGGTAAATCTATCTTATGGCAGTCAGTCATACCGGTTGCAATCTCAAGAGTGAATCAGTTTGACGCTGCACGGCTCGATGTTGAAATGTCTGCCATGTTGAAGGAACAGTTGGTCAAGGTTTTCACTTTGATGAAGGTATCCATCAATTCTCACATCTTGTTTGCCTTTGCACGGCTTTTGATCCTCACTTTGTCGTTTGGCATCAGCCAGGAATGCTCTTTCAATACGAACCAGAACTCGATGCTTTCCTTGAGTTTCTCATCTGGAGATTCTCTATTTGGGTTGACAAACCTACCCCGGGAAATGCTCTCATGAATCTAAGATACAGAGATGAACGAGTAGCAGAGCAATGGGGGAAAGGTACTACTTCTCCTTCAGAAGCCTGCTCCTTTGTTTTTCTACTTTTACTCACGCGTGTACCACTCTCTCTCTCTCTCTGGTGTAGTCAGGACAGGACTGGAAGGCCCCGGGCTTACTGCTCCACAAAAGATTTGGTACTGTGTTGCCTCCGTTGGTGGTCAGTACCTCTTCTCCCGTTTGCAGTCATTTTCTGCTTTCCGTAGATGGGGTGATTCTGAGCAGGTGTGTTAATTGTTGGCTACTCTTCCTTATCCGCACCTCATAAACATGCTTCATTCATTTTTCCCCTCTCTCGTAGAGACCATTGGCGAGGCGACTTTGGACCATCATTCAACGTGTCGAAGGCATCTACAAAGCTGCTTCTTTTCTTAATCTATTGTCATTTCTTTATACGGGAAGGTACATGTAGTTGTGAAGCGACGTCTTATGTCGGGTTCAAAATGTGAGCCTGTGTAGAAATGCAGAAACGTCTTGATGGTTCTCACATTCTTTACGTTTCTTTTCTTTCTTGATCCAGGTACAGGAACCTAATTGAAAAGGCTTTAAGAGCCCGGCTTGTCTACAGGAGTCCCCATATGAACAGATCTGTCAGCTTCGAGTACATGAATCGCCAACTTGTCTGGAATGAATTTTCGGTAGGTCCTCTCCCTGTTGCTTACCATTATCAATTTCAAATTTCAAAGTTACATCCTTGGTTGATGGTTTATGGCCTATGATTGGAACTCACTGGTCTGTAACATGTCGGCTTTGCTTTACTGTGTCTTTTGAGGAAACACTTTTGCTGTTAAAACATTTTGTGTCCTTTTCTGAAATCTGAAGTTTAGATTTGTTTGGTGACATTCAGGAAATGCTGTTGTTGCTTCTGCCGCTGCTCAACTCTTCAGCTGTTAAGAACATTCTTAGTCCATTTGCCAAGGACAAGTCCTCAGGCAATAAAGAGGATGCAGTGACTTGCCCAATTTGCCAAGTCGACCCTGCAATTCCGTTTATTGCTCTGCCTTGCCAGCACAGGTATGGTATTATTCTATGCAAATTTATTGGATCAGGATAGGGCTGATTACCTCTCTCCCCCAGATATGTACTCGAGTAGAAGCTAAGTAAGTGCATGTGATTGCGTATTTGTGGAATCATGGGGGTACAATAAATCCATATCCTGAAGTGATGTTATTGGCGACGGGTGAGGAATTGAGAGTATGTGTTGTTGTTAGCCTTGTTACTTACAGTTAAAAGACTGACTTTGTGGCAGGTACTGTTACTACTGCATAAGGACCCGCTGCGCTTCAGCAGCATCATTCCGGTGTCTTAGATGTAACGAGCCTGTGGTTGCCATACAACGCGAAGGTGTTTCAAGTGGCAAATAAAAATGGAGGAAGAGCACTTGTCACCAAGTCCAGAAGAATAAGCAGACGCAAGTAGTTTTGTGGAATTACTGAAGAAACAAATGTAAAAAGCTATAGGCAAGCAGTCTTAACCAGATTAGGGCCTGGTAAGGGGTTGTTTGCAAACAGACTATACAATAAGGGAACATCATGTGATGGATAGAGTCTGCAAGAAACATGTTTAGATAGATGCACTTCTGTTCATGGGTTCGGAACCGACCTACAAAAAGTTGTAAACATTTTGGTCTTCTCTTAGAAAATCATTCAGTTGAAATGTCGGCGGCTATACTTGAATAATCAATATCCATTTCCTTACATGTGATGCCTACTTTACGACTCGCTCCTACTTCCATATTAGTAGTAGTTTTGTAGTACATTTGACACGGAAAAAACAGAGCCAGAGATCATATGAATCCCTCACTGTGAGGCAGAGAGCAGACTGATTTCTATCTCTTGGAGGCTCTTCCCTTTAGTCTCAATCACGTTCTTCTGCACAAAGATAACTGCCACCACGCAGAAGAACCCAAAGATTGCATTTAGGAGCACCGAACCTAGTTGCTCCAGCATCCTCAGAAACAGCAGTCCCACGAAGAAGTTTATTACCTGTTGTTGTTGCGTCATCCTCCAAGATTATTATCAATTATCATTATCCAGTTTCCAAAAGTTAATAACAAAGAAAAAAGGCAATACCCAGTGAACAGCAAGACAAACAGCCAATGCTGTTGCCCGAAGACGACCAGGGCATATCTCAGACAGGAGAAGACTTGGAACAGGACCAGCTCCAGTTGCAAACGACAACACAAACCTGCATTTGCATCGTTACACCCCCGAGTTTACCAAAATATTCACCCCCTTTCCACTACCATAGTTTTTATAGAAAACTTACAATAGCATTCCTCCGACCGAGAGAAACAAGGTTCCAAAGGGTGATGAAAACGAAGTATATGCTATTGCTTGGAGACCCAGCGAGACTGCCTGTTAGAGATGATACACATAGAGCTTTGTTTAAGTATCAGCTGTGTCAATTTTAATTCAAATAGCGAATTTCACTCTCAACAATTACCATGCCCGCAAAACTCCCAATAAGCAACACTTTTCTCCCCAGCTTATCCATCAAAATCACCGCTACAGTAGAACCTGTACGACAGCATGAATGATGTTTACATTCGTTTTTTAAAACAGCATGTTGAAAAGATAATTTCGGAATCTCTTCTTTTCATAATCATCTTTTCATAATGGTGGAAGACGCATTTCACAAAGTTGCTTATCTAGATTATCGTGAACACGATGGTTTCTTTCAAGCTATTGTAGAATATACAATAAGAGGTCACACTTGAATACCTAAGAGGTTGCAGACTCCCACACATATGTTCGCAGAGGCTGAAGGTACACCAGCTTTCTTGAAGACAGTTGATGAGAAATAGAACACAGCGTTTATCCCAGACAACTGTTGTAAAGCAAAAAGGGTAGATCCAATGAAAACCACTGCAAACGGAGAAAATTAAATCGTAAAAATGAATGAATTTAGAGGCTCCACATGCTTTTGCAAATGACAATGACTCTTTTTCACTACGGATCCTGTTGAATCGGCTAACATACCTTCCTCGTAGATCATTAAACTCTTTGACGATCATGTCTAACCCCAATCTCATTACATCCAAGGCTCAATGGGAATGAAACTCTAGATCTAATATTTGACCAGACACCACTTCCGGAATATTTAAAATCAAAACAGTACCACAAGTTTTCACAATCTTGTTGCTTCACACATACCTCTAAAACTGCGCCCAAAAAGCAATTCCGACAATTTGGCTGAATCAGCGTCATCGCCCCTATCCGACCTCGTCAACTCTGCCATAGCAGCTTTAACATAGGCCCCTCCCAGTAACTTCTCAAACACGGCTTCAGCTTCAGCTGCCCTTCCTCTCTGAGATTAAAACAGAGAAAGAGAATCAACAAAAATATGGTTTATGAGAAATGTCTTTAAGAGCTACGCGGGTTAATATGAGAAAAAGTCACCTTGAAAAGCCACTGAGGACTTTCGTCGCAGAGTTCCATGCAAACAGTAAGCATTACTGCTGGGACTGTAGATATCCAAAAACATATACGCCACCTTAGACAATCAAGAAAATGAAACCTATTAGAAGATCATTCTGCCAAGGTGTCCAAATGGTATACATTCTTGTCAATATGGGTGACCATAGACCAAGTAGACCAAAGCATGTGATTTGCTAGTAGCTTATAAATTTCAGGATTCCTTTCCATGCAAAGTCGTTTCTCAAGTCGAATTCTACTAATGAATTTGCAGCAAAAGATGAGGGGATTTCAATAGATTTTCAGCATTTCAACCAAACACCAAAGATCCTCATTGCAGATAGGTGGGTTTAGAAAGGACAATTACAATCAAACATGCCATCTGACGCAACCGAAAAAGAGTGGAATACCATGCGCTTGAATTCACGAATGGCGTAGAGTTACAATCTTCTCTACCTAGAAGGTAAGTTGGTTCGAGACCTATCAAAGCTCTAAGCTTCGCCCGCACACACCAGTTTGATTTAATTTATAGCATTGTAACAGGACATTGAGGCTATTTAAGCTTGTATTCCTCAGGTTCTTGTCAATATCTTACCAGCCGAAATTGTCTTTTGCAGGGATTCCAGCAAATAGTGAACCTAAGAGTCCAAGACATGTCGCAATTTGAGTAGAGCTGCCATATGTGCCTCTCACATAAGCAGGTGACACCTGCAAAGTGAAAATGTGTGTCTCTCTCTAAGTCAGAAGTATTGATAAGTCGAGTTAGTGAAAGTTATGTGCCTAGAGAACCTTCAGTTTACTTTGGGAAAATGCAGTGATGCAAAAAAAGCTTTTATTAAACTGAATTTTATGTTCGTTAATGAACATCCGCGTGTTAATGATCCAGTTCATGTCTGAAACATACATCTACTTACATAACATTGACCCCAAACAGCCTTTGATAAAATAAAATAAATTGGTACTGAACCTTATCTTTAGAAAAAGATATTTGTGGTAAACATGTTGATTTGAAGGATCAAATACAAGACTCGTCACTGAATTGTATGTCAAGTTATATTCACACGTCGACAGTCTGTGAGGAAGCAAATCTCATATAGCGATCATACAAAAACAAGTGCAGAAACAATGACTTCAAGGTATATGTCAAGTACCTCGGTGACATAGAGAGCCGTAACAGAAGGGCCTATGCCCATCCCGATTCCGACAAAAAACCTTCCCAGGAGCATGCCCTCAAGACTCTCAGTTGTTGCACTGCAAACAATACGTTTGTAAGCACACAGATCTCGTGAATTTTATACAGACTCTAGACAAAAGACCAACATAATGACTTAAACCTAACTAGTGACTACACTTTGGAATAAATGAAAGTCCACCAAGGCAATGACTTGAGGCCAAATATGTTCAAAGGAAAAACCAATTTCCCATAACAATTAGCCGGCCTATTATCATCCAACCAGAAAATCAGTATGGGGATATATGTAATCCCAACTGCATAATGACTAGCCTTGACAACAGCGTTCAGCAAATCAGCAGGCAATTATTTGAATCCGAAATGTTCAAACAAGACCAAATGCATGTTCAATAAAAAATTAGCCAATAGCAAGAATCCACGACCAACTGAAACAAGGTCTGATAAGAGCCTATCCCATGCAGGCTCCAACAGTACCCAGTCATGCATGAATCAACAGCCTAAACCAAAAATTAAGAAGAACACAAAGATCACCTCAGTGAAGCTCCAACAATCATTGGTAAAGCGCTCAACTGGAAAGCTCTACGGCGCCCAACACCATCCGCGACCAGCCCACTGAACAGGGATCCAATAAAGGCACCGCCTAAACACGTACTAACCACAAGACCTTCATCCACCAGAAAAAGGTTTCTGGAATGATGAGACAGAAGGATACGCACGATGACTAAATAAACACAAAAACAAGTCATCTTCTTGAATAGGTACCTTCAGCGATGGTGTTCCCACTAAAGCCAAGGTCAATTGATATGCTTTCGAGAGTTTCATTAACAACCCTGCGTCCAAAAAAAAGAAACATAAATTCCCTTTTCTTCCCAATTACATACATTTAAAAGAAACCAACTTACTGATGTTCCAATAACAAGAATGCATCGAGAAGAAAGATGATTCTAAGACTATCAACTAATCGTACAAAAGAATAAAATAACAACCTAGCAGCATGATAAGTAGTATATTTTCTTTCTGTTAATGCAAAAATGAAAAGACAAGGAAAAAAAAGGAACAAATGTCACAAGGAGAGACCCAAGATGATAGCCGAATAAAAGCGAAGTCAGGGATGCAACGAGCACGTGAGGCAGAGATCGCTTCCAGGAAGGATTCCCGATGTCTTTTCCCGTCACAGTCGGCAGACGCACTAGAATTCACAGTCACAGTCAGTCTATGCGGAAGAAGATTCAATACTTCTTCTTATTATATACGAGAAATGTCAAATGTGCAAACCACAGTCTGAGTAAAAAGTTGCTAAATAAATATTACAAAGTTATGCCTAAGGGCGCAAACATCGGAGAGGTCCTACTAAGGATACAGGTTAAATTTTGCAATCTAAAGTTGATGAGCCCAGGCAACAAAAGATCAGAGTTCTCTTTTATCTATGACATCATTCCGTTAGCATCAACCACTCTAAAGTAACAACCGTACATACCTGATAGAGTCAAGCTTCCTTGTTTTTATTTACTAGAGTGTTCAGAGTTGTAGGTCTAACATTGAAAGCCTTTATTAACGATAATTAATCTTTCATTTTCAGGGTCATAAACCACTACAGAATTATTAGTGTTTAAATGATCTACAATCAGCATCTAACTCGTAGCACGTCGGAAGAGAGCATGATTCTAATGGCACTTTCCAGTCAACTTGATCAAATTTATTGTAAAAGAAGTTACAGAGAGGAACAAGGGGCAGAAAAATTCTCAATGCAATACCA